TTGCCTATCAGTACTGGAATTAAAGTGGAAGAATCTAATTTTTACTCAGAAAAAAACATGTTAAAACAAAGGTATAGTTAACTAGCTTTTTATTAGCTGCATATGTTGTCATTTCTGTACATTACAGCTATACATATGGTTTTACTTTTTTTTTACTCTCAGTAAAGCAAATATATATATATCTTATATTCTATCCGTCCCCAACATGGTGTTCACAGGTGCCATTGTGTCTTTCTATACTTCTCTTAACACTGCCAGGCTCTTTACCCATTTAATTCTTTTTTTTTTTGGCTACTATTTTAATTGCAAACATTAAAAAGGAAGCTTGTGGTCCACACATGAAACCTATATACAGGTCAGGAAGCCACAGTACAGACAAGACATGGCGAAAACAGACTGGCTCCAGGTTGGCAAAGGAGTGAGGAAAACCTGTATGCTTTTTCCTTATTCATTTAATCTATATGCTGAATATATATTAAGGGAAGCTGGATTGGAAGAACATGAATGTGGCTTTAAAATTAGAGGAAGAAATGATGATGATGACGACGACGACGATGATGATAAGCAATCCCAAAATATCTGAAGCACCACTTGAACCCCATCAGCATTGATAAAATCACCATCAATCAATTGCAAAAAGCAGCTTTACTTGGAACAGCTTACATCCTGAGATGATACTTTTAACACCATTAAACAACATCTGCCTATCCCAGGTCTTTGGGAAGTACTCGACAGGTGGATAAAAATGCCAAATCCAGTCTAAACAACTGGCTGACAGTGCGACCAACAATAATACATTAAGCTTGTATGTGGCCTGACTCTTAGTGACTCTGGGTGGCTCATAACAGTCAAACAAAGAAATTACAATAGAACATAAACAATAAAAACAAGATAGTAAACATGATGAAGTGGGGGTCTCACTCTCCCTTGTTAAAGGCCTGGGTGAAGAACCAGGTCTTCATGACTTGTCTAAACAACAGCAGAGTTGGTGCCATCTGGATCTTGGGGGGAACCTCATTCCAGAGGGTAAGTGCTGCTACAGAGAAGGCACATTTCTGGGGTCCAGATAGATGACTGTTTAATCAAAGGAACCTGGAGTGCACCAACCCTGCAGGATCAAATTGTCTGGGCAGATGGTATGGGAAACAGGCAGTCCCTCAAGTAACCAGGCCCTATGCCAACTGCACTATGTTGATGACACTATAGCTGAAATATGAAAATGCGAAGGATCTGCAAGCTCTAGTAATAAAAATCAAGGATCACAGTGAAAATATTGGACTAGTATTAAATATAAAAAAGTCTAAACTAATGACAACAGGTCCAACAACCAGCCTTAGAACTGACAGTGAAGATACTGAAGTGGTAGATAGCTTCTGTCTTTTAGATTCAACCATCAATAGTAAAGAAGCAAGCAATCAAGAAATATGCTGCAGACTAGCACTTGGTAGAGTAGCTGTGAAGGCCTTAAAAAGATATTCAGATGCTATACTTACATATATCAGAATAGTGCAGGCAATGCTATTTTCTCTGACACTTTATGGAAGTGAAAGTTGGCGTTAAAGAAGCTGGATAGAAAGAGTAATTACACTTTTGTATTGTTGTGTTGGAGAAGACACATGGACAAGCAAATGGATCATCAAACAATTCAACCCAGAGTTCTACTCAAGGCACAAATAATCAGGCTCAAGCAATCATATTGCAAATACATTACATGAGGACCTAGCTCTCTGGAAAAGGCTCTAATGCTGGAAAAGGTAGAAGGAAAGTGAAGATGAGGAAGACGAGCAGCAAAGTGGATGGACTCAAAAAAGCGGTGATGGGTGCACTGTTGGAAGACCTGATAGACCAGGTTAGGGACAAATCACCATGGAGAAACTCTATGTGGTCACTAAGAGTTGACATCGACTTGATGGCAAATCAATCAGCATATTACAGAAATAGTGCCAACCTCTACAATTACAGGGTGGACATGCTCCTAGCAATGCCATCTAATGGGACCTAGAAGATGTGCCGTCTCTGTTGATGTGACTGTCCTTTGAAATGAGCTTCCCCCTGATGTTAGGATGACACTGACCCTATTGGCTTTCCATTAAGCTGTAAAGACCTGGCTCTTCTCCTGTGCACTGGGCAAGAATGGTAAGTGAGCCTGTTTTGTGATATGAGTATGCATTGGTAGCACTAGCTTCAATTATTTATGTATATATTATCAAAGATAGATAGATAGATAGATAGATAGATAGATAGATAGATAGATAGATAGATAGATTTTTGTTTGGTTGTTTATGTTAGTTCTATATAAATTTTCTTGTTAGTTTTATATGGTTATTATTTTCATTTGGGGGGGGTCATTTTCTTTTATTATATTGCTGAATGCTATCCAGAGTCACAATTCGTGAGAGGGGCAGCTTATAACATTTTTAAATAAATTGAAAAAAAAAACAACTTTCAGGAATATGTTTAAGTTCCTCAGAGACCACAGAGGCATCCATAGAAATGAAAAACTGTGGGTGGCTACAATCCCATGCTTTGTTTTGAAATGTGCCTTTCTCCCTTGGCAAAGAGCAAAGTGGCTGAGAGCATCTGGGGGATGTAAGTTAGTCTTGTGGTAAACAGACGTTTTTAACTAGACATACATTCCATGGCTAACATTTTATGGTAATCTTTATGGCATGATCCAATTGTGCCTATTAGCAAAAAAAAAAAAAAAAAAAAAGTGGGAGTGCTTCTTTTATCCAGAGAGATATATTATGATATACAATATACAATATATATACATACATATACATACATACATATATATATATATATATTCTGTAAAATAACTATTCTTAGATGGTCTCATGTTAAATATTAAATATTATGCTGATGGCTTGCCAACAGCTTATTATGTTTGAAAATTTTTAAAAGTCTTCAAAAGCAGAGTACCAAGATCTAAAATATGTATACTGAGTGATATATACACTCCAAATCATCTTTTGTTCCTCTAAAAGGTATATGTGCTGCCTTAAAAAACATACTAAAAAGCCCAGAAGAATTTTCTGTTTATCTTGTGGTTTATGATGACTTACTGTAGCTATTAAGAAAACAGTAACAGAAACCGGAATCTGTATCCTGCTTGCTATTGTCACATTTTGAAAGAAAGTTCATGTAAATGCATTAAGACCTGCACTAGATAAAAAGAAAATGCTATTTAAACAGGAGATGTCAGGAACAAGATTTACAAAAAGTGTTACATGTGAACTAGTACACTACTAAAAAATGTTTCACATGCCAACGCCTCTTCTTAAGTACACAGAGTACAGATTGTGCTGTTAGGGACTGTATTCGTCATGTTATTTTACCTAGAGAATTATATTTCTCTTAATGACATTTAGAGAGAGAGAGAAAAAACTTAGGTATCCCTCAAAAACCCTGGATATGGAATGAGAGAGACAATATGTTTTTTGTTAACTGTCAAGTATCTTTTTTGTATTTCCAGTATAAATGAAATGGCTGATGGCTTGCCAGTGACTTGACAGACTAATTACTGAAGTCACTTGGCTGGTTGGGACTTCAGGTTCAGGTTATAAGCCTAAATTTATAAGCCTAACATTTAGGTAGGGCCACCAATTAGTTTAATCTACAGTCATTTTTTTTTAATCCAAGTATGCATTATACATATTTCTGTATTTGAATGTATAAGTTTGTCTGTACCTTGCTGACAAAAGGTAATAAAAATATTCAATTATCATATGCCACTAGTTTAATTCTATAATACTCATAACTAAATTTTCTGAGACTGCAAAGTAAAATTAATGTTCATTCTGTCAGACAGAAAACTGGCAGCATTACTATATATAGATGACATATATTCCAACAATTACATATGAAATCAAACCTTGTACCAGTGAGGCATAAGATTTAAATGGCTGAATAAGGTGCTTAGTGCATTACTGTCAATCAGTGTTTCTACATCCAGGATAACAATAATCTTAAATGGGAACACATTTATTATTGCAAAATCCTAACTAAGTACTTCATTACTTGTAAATGTCACTCTCAATTAATAAAGTAACAGATAACCATTTCACTGTTGTGCATCTGGCTTGTGACTATATTTGTATAATTGAAACACTGGCATTTTTTGAGAACTATAATTTTACTTGCTCATCTTAGTCTGCATGAAATAAATCTCCATAGTAGTAAATAATAATAATAATAATAATTATTATTATATTATTATTTGTAGTAGTAGTAGTAGTAAGAAGCAGTTACTTCTTCTTACTGTAGATTGTAACAACCCCAGTAACACATGTTTAATTAGTAAGGTATGTTTTTCCCATTTAAAGAATTGCCAAAAAATAGCAATGCTCATCAAGACAATCACAGTTAAACAGGTTTTCTTTAGAAAGAATATGAATGAAGTTCATATGAGGGTATTTCCAGATAATTTTTCTGCTGCAATAAACGCAAAATTTCATAACTGTTTTACAAATTCCTTCTTTCCTGCAAGGATTGCCCATTTTTCCAATATTCAAAAACAGTCTTTGCAACTGATTTGAAAGACTGAAAGTTTGAGGTATTTTATTGAACAGTATGTTTGATCCTTAACCATTTTAAAATTTGATGTTAGATCTCATAAATATGGCGATATTGCAGAAGAGGTAAATGTGAATCTTGACCTCATTCTACCTATCTGCTCAGTTCTTACATGGAGGCAGAGCAGCATTCTTAGAATGACCTGATGGATAGCATTCCTATTCTGCTGGACAGAATAAATTATTTTGTTATTGTGAGTTTCTTTACTCTTACAGGAACACCCTTCCAATCTTCCTCTTTAAACAAATATTAAAAATGAAGCCATTCTGTTTTCCTTAACATCTAATTACACCATATGCAATTGATACTGAATCAGTGCTAGTATAGATAATAGCACAAATAATAGAATCCAGCATTTTTAATTGTCTAGGAAGGCCCTTACTCTAAATTCAATAGCTGTCTATAGTGATGCCCAGTCTCACCTCATCCTTTATGTCTTCTTGCTGCTGTGCACTGAAGATCTCCATTGCAGCCATCAGCCTCATCATTAGCTCATCCACTGTTGTGTTTCCTAGCAACAAAGAAAGACTATTGAACTTCATAATATTAAAGTTATTTTAAAAACCCAGAAAGTCATTTTAGAAATAATCCAAAAATAATACCTAGAGATATTTTTTTCATAAGTCACAAAAAGAAAATGCAATTAGTCTTATTTTAGGGTCTTTTAATTTATATTTTAAAGTTTCTGAAAGTTTCCAGTTGTAAATGTGAATCTAAATGAAAAAAATCAGATTAATTATAATTTCTATTTTATCTTCATATCTGCAATAATATCAAGGCTATGATCGCAAACTAGGGAGAAAAAAGGAAAAAGAGATGAGGACTATTTTTGTTAGGTATAGCTAAGTTAGAAAAAAAGAGGGAGATTTTTATTTCTAAACATTTTTTCAGATTGTTATATAAAATTCATTGTACATCTCTAGATATTATTACAAAACACCTTTTGACATATCTATCCCTAACATTCTTGCGCTGAATTTAAATACTAACATCTACAGTTAACAGCCCTTGGAACTACTCTGCCCTTCACTGATTCAAAGATTGCTAACATATATAAAGATGAAGAGCCCATCTTTCCCTTAACTGGACAATATATATTATTTGTCAGGTTATTACTTCTTGGTTACACTGCTAATATAAGGAGATTTGAAATACATAAAAAAGAAATTCCACAACTCTATTCCACTGCATATGAATCTTGATTTCAACCTCTGCTACTCACACAGTTATTTTCATGAGAGTAGGGTCAATTACAAAATGTTGGCATTCCCCACTCTCTTTGCATGTGGTCTCTCCCTAAGAGGAGGGGGGGAGGGAGAAAGTTTGGGTGGTGAAACTTTCCCCTCCCATTCAAGTTACTAGAATAAGGGGGTAAATTTTTGCTGCCCAAAAATGATGGCTTTCATTTCACCTCTTGATTAGGGGAAGAAAAAATGCTAGATGGAAAAATGTCATTTCCTGCCAAGATTGCTGGAATCCTAAACATTTCTTCATATCCAGCCACTATTTTGGCAGAGGATTTTACTCTTTTAATTTGAACAGCATCAACTGAGGAATAATTGGAGAGGGAAGTAACCCATCCCCACCAAGTACCCTGATACCACAAGGATTCCCGAACAATAAATCTTTATCAACTGAATGGGTTTGATTCTTAAATAAATGTTCAACATGTTGTTATTAATTTCATTAGTGGATATTTAAATCAGGATTGATAACATATCCTGTCTTTTCCTCGGAAAGAGATTTAATACTGAGAATTCAAACTCCTACTTCTAAAAATCAGCTATAATATTTGATAATTTTTTTCATTTCTTTTGTAGAACAGCAACATAAAGTGTAAAATGAGCTTTACTGCCAGGCTTGAAGAAGAACATTTGTTACCACTGATTTTCCTATATTATCATATTATATTAGTTTTGATCAGATGCATACAGTCATTGCAAATGTGTATAAGATAAATTCACTAATTTTTCATTTTCTCTAAAAGTACTTTTTGAATGTAAGAATCTAAACTATATTCCAGGAGAATAGGTAGCAAATACACTTGGAAGTTTCAATACAAAACAAGTACCTAACAGAATACATAGATTATACCTTGTATTACATTCAACACTTCATTTGATGATCGTTTTCCCATAATAATGAGGAACAGTGGAAACTGATCTGTCTTCTGAGTCCGAATAGTTTGAGCTACAACACTGCCAAAATGTCTTGTGCACATTGTTAGAAACCTGAAAAATGGAAATATTAAAAAAAATTGTATAAATTTACTTTATTCATTTAATTTTCAAAATTTATATACATTTCATAATTTCACAACAAAAATATATGCACATTGTAGTTTATTTTCAAGAAAATATAGTACTTCATTTGTTGTTAATAGTAGCCCCCATTTGTTTCCTCTTTTTATACTGTTCCTACTTTCTGCTGACTCTCTTTCTAATCTTCCTACTCTCCCTAGGCCATCATCCACTTTATACTCTTTCTTTCTCTTCTATGCTGCAACATACCTATTTTCATTAATCCATACTACCTTCTTTATATTTTCCCCTAAATTTCTTTACATTCTTTTGGGGAAGGATCATAGCTCTGTAATAAGTATATGCTGTACCAAAACTTGTGCTGCCAGATTTAATAGCTAGATACAACTGAGACCTAGTGGATAACTACAATCCTTCTGTCAATTCTTAACCTATATTGCTGAAAATTTTTGCCTTCAGAAAATAGAAGAAAACACAATAGGATCAATTACCCCGACATAATCTTAACCAAAGAAAACAAAATCTGTAAATTTATGAGAAAATTCTAGAGCATATCATAAAACTACTGATGGGTAACCAACTTGAAAAAAAAATACAGTATTAAATTCGAATCATCTAGAGATTATTCGATTATTAGATTTGTAAAAAATAAGCCTTTCTGAACTAAAGTCATTCCTTTTTTATCTGGTAACTTCCTTAGTAGACTGTGGAAATGCTGTACACATATCTTGCTTTCAACTATGCTTTGATACAGCATCCCATTCTGATCAGGAAATTATTTAGGCATGGGCTAAATGGCATGTCTATTAGATGGTTCTACATCTATCCTGAAAGTCATGCTCAGAGCGCCCATCAACGGTTCTGCAGCAAACTAGTGTAAAGTATCCTGGAGTACCAGGATTAGTACCTCTTAAGTGTTTTCCTGATTTATATGAGGAGGTAGCTGAAATGATGATCATATTTGCAGATGACATAAAACAGGGTAGGACAACTACTATTTTAGAAGACCAAACCAAAATTCAGAATGATCTTGGTATGTTAGAGAAGTGAGCTGAAAATAACAAAGTGAAATTTAATAGAGATAAATGCAAAGTTATACACTCAGGAAACAGAAGTCAAATGCACAAATATAGGATGTGGAATTCCTGGGTAGTGAAAAATAACTTGGATTTGTACTTCAATCACAAGCTGAATATGAATCAGTAATGTGATGCAGCTGCTAAAACAGGCGAAGAAATTTTACATTGTGTCATTAGTAGAAGTTTCCAAATCATGGGAAGTAATAATTTTACCCTATTTTGCATTATCAGTGTATAGGGCCTCAAGTATTGTGTACAGCTCTAGGTAACAGATTTTTAAGACTATTCAGAAAAACTGGAAGAAATACAAAGAAGTAAGTGAGGTTGATTTTATGAGGAGAGAGGAGGAAAGACTGAGGACTGGGAGATGACTCGAGGGGAATTTTCAAATACCTGAAGGGTATCATAGACAAGAAAGTGAAGACCTGTTCTCTATCATGTGTCCAGTGTCCAGAGAGAAGGACACTGAATAATGGCATTATGTTACAGATATTGGTAAATGTAACAAAAAACTTTCAAGTGGTAAAAGCAATGTGAAACTCAGAGATTACGGAAGGAGGTAATTCCCTTCCCTGCTACGCAAAAATGCTGTCAATGTCTTCTCTGGTTTACTCTTAAAACACAAATCAAATGAGATGGAGGACAGTAACCAAAACAACAGCTCCGTATTATTAGGAAGAATATACATACAGCCCTCTGGATCTCCTTTTTTAAAGATAAGATTCTTACTCAGGCAACAGCCCCCCACTTTTCTTGGCACTCTGCTGATTCCTAACTCTGAATCCCCACTTTACTACTGTAGCAAGAGCAGCATCAAGACAGAAATCAGTGTGTATTCCCATAAATTAATATGACCCCAGTGAATTCAAATACTTATTTTTGAATAATAGGACTGAAAAGCACAATAACACCACAGTGGAGAAAAGTATATGACTAAAAGCAAAGCTTAATTTGGAATCTTCAGATGTTGAACTGGAGGTGTGGTCTTAATAAGCATAATATACTGCCACTGTTAATAATATGAAATGAAAACAATGACAAATATCAAAATTATAGGTTCAAAATAGTGCCGAGTAGCATCTTGTCATGCTGTCTCCTAGGATGACTCATCTTGAGAGGAGGAGAAAACCACTGAGCCCATAGATGCCCGCTCCACCATTAAGAAAGAATTATGTGATTCTAGAATCCACTTTCCAAACTCCAGTTCAAATTATTTGTGCAACCCCCAAGCCCAAGGAAGTGGCACTGGCACTGAGTTAAATTTCAAAAGGCCAAAAGCCACAGCCAAGCTAGTTTGGATCAAAACACTTTCTGTGAGGAATATTCTATTATTACTGTATGGCCCTGGATCCTGAGTAAGGCTAATACCTAGGGGCTGGAGTGAGGGGTAAAAACTTGAGACCTTTAGTATAAAGTTTTTTCTTCCCACAGATGAAGTAACACCATTTGTGCTAAGGATACTTCAATCCTTAGGCACTGTTTGAAACTTGTTCTAAAAAAGCCTTATACAGTAAGAATCAAATGGGAATTTAAACCATTATCATATTTCACTCTTATTCTTTACAATGCAAGGGGAATTTTTCTCTCCTCTAAGATACAATCAGATAGATATGATGATTTTAAGGTCTGTAAGAACAGGTATTGGAGGTTGAACTCTTTGGCAAGAATCAATAACACAAAATTTCAGAAGTTCATTGTAAAGAATAATCCACAGACAGACACACATATAGGACAAAAGTTGTAGATGAACAGCTTGCATATAGAAATATGTTAATATAACTTTCAATAATTAATTAGTGAAAGAAGTAATACATATCAAGGAGTCATGTTTTTGAAGATTGTGCTAGTTTCCTTCACTTTCATACTTACTAGTGTGTTCTGAAAACACTAATTCTAAGCTTTTGACAAAAAAAAGCTTTCATCCATTATCATACTGAAGTCTGACATTAGTATTCTTAACACGATCTTGAATAAATGAAAAAACTGATAAAGCTTTTCACTTCCATTAGAGGACTGTTTGAAATTAGCATTTCTTTCAAGAGAAAAGGGTAGCTTATGATATGTTTTCAGATCTGATGGTAAAAAGTAAATGTCATAATAATAATGAATTATGAAAGACCAAATGCAAATATAGAATGCTTTAATAAGATCCAATTTAATAAAGTCTGTAAAAATAATGGACTTTTAATAACACAGGTCACAAAAGGCAAAACAGTGGAAATTTTGAGGACTAGCCACTGGTATAGGCTTATTAATTCTTAATTATGTTCATGAAAGGCAACTTAAATCGTGTACTTTCTTATGCCTTAGGATAATATTTTAGGTAACAACTGATCTCAAAAGTATGCACCACTTGATGAGCATAAGCCTTTTTGTCCCATGCTTTAGAAGGTAAATCTATTTGAAAAGACAAACGGCATTAAAATGTCACAGGCTGAAAAGCATTTGATATCAACATCCAAAACAGAGACACAACACTTAATTTTCATATTACTAATAAAACGTCTACCCTTCAGAAATCTAGAATGATAAATAAAAATCCATGATTCCAAAGTGAGCATGATTCTGAGAACTGTTAAAGTTTGAGAACAAATTAGAGCAAATTTTGAGTGTTACTGGCTTTATATAAAATATATCATCTTAATATGGAAGCTATTAACTTTTTAGTAATAATCAGATGCGGTTAATAAATAGTTCAAAAGATGGAGTAATTACATGATTATGACCTACATATGCCAGTTGGCCATTATTGCTGTGTGGAAACCACAGAGTGAGATGCAAGGGCCCCTGATTTTATTGTGAAATGATTTGCAGGTGCAGATCCAAGCTTAGAGTGAGTTGCAGTTTGGAAGTTTTGTGCTATCTGATTTGAGACATCCTTATTTTGATTTCTCAGCAAATTGTGTCAGGAAGTCACTCTGGTCAAGCTAGCTGCTAAGTTATGTAAGCCATGCTCTAATTAGACTATTTAGATAAATTATGTAATTTATACTCAAAAAGAAAATTTAAATTTTACAGAAGAATGCTATACTAAATATCAGTTTGAAAATACCTATTTGATATGTCCAAATCCAAATTCAGCAGACCAAATATTTGAAGAAGAGCATTAATGCTCTTTATATGTGGGCCAACTTTAAAGAAACTATTAAACTTACTTCTATACCTTATTATGGTTAATTTGCTGTAGGGTTTTTCCAGAGTAAAAGAATACTTGTTGAATATTAAACTTATCCAACATCTATTTAATATTATTAATTTTATACTGTGCAAAGTCAACATGTCTCATTAAAATGTGAATATAGGAATAACGTTTTATGCTATTAATATTTAAATTTTAAATATAGAACTGGAGAATATGTTTTATTTATTCATGACATGACTGTCTTAGCCAATTCTACATGCCATCCACTTAGCCCTGTCCTTCTTTAAAGGCAATTGTTACTTTTAACTAGGTTCTTGTAACACATATTGCTACATCCTTCTGTGTGCAATGACTGGTCAGTAGCAGTCAACAGTTATCTTTGTTTAGAAGCTTCTTTAAAAATGCTAACATTATTTGGAATTCATCACTAAAATCACTATTCATCAGGTAACTCCCAGAGCAGCCTTAGCCGAAATTGATGGATTAGAACAACATAAAGCTGTAGGCCTACATAAGTGAAGCAAAGGTTAGTTTATATATTATTTTTTATTCATGGTTACCATATGATGGTATTGGACATTTGGTGTCTATGTTTAAAGATTCTACCTTGAGCAACAGTTTATAACTATTATATGTTTTCATGCTATTATCATGCAGCTGGAAATCAGATGGCAATGGAATTCAAACAGTTCTTTAAAAATGCTTATGACAGCAGCATTTACATTTTATTACTCAATATGATAGCAGGAAAAGTATTGGAAATAACAACAGGGGAAGATTAATGCATAAATTGGGCTCAAGTTGAACACCAAGCATTACAGTAACAGTCCTTTTGTTAGATTGCTTTATAACCCAAAATATCAGAATTACAAGTGGGCTGACTTTTTCATTTGGGCAAGCAAAGTGGGAAAGGTCACAACTGAATATTTTTTCTATTGCCCCTAATTAGATAGTTTATTGGAGTGGGAGATCTGACCTACTAGCCATCTCCATTAGCTCCTGTTAGTTGGGGCAGAAATCAGAAAAAGGAGGAAAGAGATACAGTTCAATTCCAAAGCATTTTATAATCAAAGATAGAATTAATCTTCCTTGAAATTAATTTCCAAACTTTAATTCAACTACGCTCTTTCCCTGATCTATTGTATATTGCTTTTCACTAGCCATGTTGTTGAATGTTATGATTTATGTAAACCATCAGAGGTCTATCTGGAATCAGTGATATACAAAAGTTATAATAAACAAACAAATTTGTGCTTTATAATTTCCCATCAGTTCTAG